TGCATAAATAATTCTCTGAACGCCTTTTGCAATACCAAGAATATTATCCCAGAGACTCAATTCGGATTTACATTCAAACATTCCATCGTCCACGTTATATCAAAGTTCACCTCCGATATATGCTAGGCCCGTAACTCAGACGAATGCGTAGGCGCGATCTTCATTGACCTTGAGAAAGCATTCGACACAGTTTGGTTGGATGGTCTATTCTTCAAACCTCTCAAAAAGGAATTTCCCAAACATCTCGTTAAAATGTTATGGTGTATGCTACGCGGTAAAAACTTTTTTGTTACAGACGGCGAATTTATTTCCAGCAAACGCTTCTACATCCACAACGGACTTCAACAGGGCACCGTCAACTCTCCATTGCTCTTCAATATATTTATAAAGACCTGCTGCAAATGTACACTACCGAACAAGCAAACCGGAACGATTTTTCAAATGCTCATAACTATGAGAGTTTTCAACCGATTTCGATGAAACTTCGTGAGGAATAGTCTTCAAGTGTCTTCTGGGTGTGTGCAAAGTTGCATTGGCGAGGGTTGATGTGAAGGGGTTAATTCAACCCCCTAAAGAGGAGGGTGTAAAAAAAGCGCTTCTACTGGCCAAGCGGTAGATCGATTATCGACCGCGAAAGCCACGAAACGAGCGCGGTAAAATCGTGTGAGAAACTCCTAAGCAGGGAAAGCGGGAGAATGGCAGATTGCCTACCCGCCAGACGCTTCTACATGCCGACTCCGTCCGGCCCTCTTACTAGTCTTTCAAATCTGCGCCGATTTGACAACGAAAGCGTGATTGAGAAAATCTGAATTTTTGGGGACCTGTTAATAAAGCATTCGCGCATCCGATACCGTGAACGGCGTTGACGTGGGGTTACTCATTCACCCTGCAGATGGGCCTGAATTTTGGGGTGGGTTTTCCCAAAAAAACGACATTTTCGAATTTTATTCCCATTCACGCGGGAAAGACATCAAAACTGTGTCACTCTAATGCCTTGGACCGTATCACATGTGTTCCAACCCCTACACCTGTGGGTGGACCACCCTTAACTCTGGACCACCCTGTTCAGCTCCAGGGGCAGTTTTCGAAACGAGCTTTAAATGACATTGATCCTTAACGTACCGAGAATAAACATGGTGAATTTCATCACCCTTCGAGGTGCGGAAGTGCTCCCTTACGAAGGGTGTTGAAAAGTGGCGAACTGTTCCATCCCTCTAAGCGGTGCCTATGGGGCGCACGGCGTGGGCGTTGGCATTTCCTGGATCAGGAGATTCCAGGGAATGCATTGAGCCCAAAATCGAGACCGTCGTCCAAAAATTGTGGATTTTAGAGGGGGTGGAAGATTGTGGGGGGTGGGTTTGTCCGAGAGGGATTTCAAGGGGTGCATTTTGTAGAGGGCATCAAGGAGAGTCACACCAAAGGTTTTTCTGAATTTTTCAACCCCTTTCGTTATCCCTGGCTTGTTTCAAAGAGGCGTTTTTTTACACCCTCCCCTTTAGGGGGGGGGGGGGTGAATTAACCATTTCACATCAACCCTCGCCAATGCAACTTTGCACATACCGAGAAGACACTTGAAGACTATTCCTCACAAAGTTTCACCGAAATCGGTTGAAAACTCTCATAGTTATGAGCATTTGAAAAATCGTTCCGGTTTGCTTGTCCGGTAATGTATGACCTGAATAGCGACAACGTCAAATCAGCAATAGTATTCGCGGACGACCTCTTGATTTACTCGCGTCACAATAAACCTGCGGTCATACAGCTCGAACTACAGAACACCTTTGGGAAAATTCAAAATTACTTTCACACATGGAAATTAAAAATTAACATCAATAAATGCGAAACTATTCTCTTTAGACCGTACATCTCTAAAATCTCTGACGCGAACTCAGACGTACGCAGACACGGTACGAAATTTCACTTACACGACAGCAATGACCGCAACTGCAAGTTACCCCATAAAGACATCGTTCGCTATTTAGGCATACATTTGGACTTTAAACTGAACTACAACCAACACGTACAAATACAGATAGACAAAGCTCAGAAGGCATTCTTCTCTCATAAACGCCTCTTTTACTCAAAGGATCTTGACAAATCCGTCAAGGTCGTTTGCTATAAATCTTTAATTCGGCCCATCTTAACCTATGGTTGGCCCATTTGGTTTAACGTCAGCGCGAGTACCATGGAAAAGCTAAGACTTTTCGAGAGAAAATGCCTCAGAGCTTGCCTAGGGACATATAGAACACCGAAGTCTAATTACACCAAAATGATCAGCAATTACAAACTGTACAAAAACGCGAAAATTATTAGATTAGATTTGTTCGTGCTCAAATTAATCCGAAATCACTGGTTCAACGCGCGTAGAATTAAACTCAATAGTCTAATTTACGGTCCAACATATCCGAATACGCTATATCATGACAAGACGCGACTGACAGGATACACACCACCGGAATCATTTCTATATCTAGATAGCGCAGGATACATTCAAAACAACGGCAACATTCCAATCATATATCATATTAACCGAAAAACCTATGACAAAAAACTCTTATACGACGTAAATACACAATTTGACGACCCCGGCATACGTTTCAACTACAGACTATCGACGATAGACTTGAACGACAAACACAGACACAACACAGACAAGTACTAGTGGTTACAGTTCAGTCAAACATAACCAGATCACACCAGTCACACCTATGTATTATACACACACAACACACAATGTAACACGCAACGTTTAAATTTAAGTAGCTTTAACAACATCAGCTACTCCGTAGTTACAATTAAGTTAGATAGTAATAATTAAATTAATAATTCATATTGACACAGACAGTATCTACTGTCTTATTTGCTTATTAATAACTATTGCGGCCTCCTCGGTAGTATAGTGGTCGGTATCCCTTCCTTCCAATTTCAACGTATGTATAGTTTTTTCCTCGTGCCGTTTTCTATACATAATCCCAACCCAACTATATTTAAGAAATTCTTCTTTATGTAATATTGACGTAGCATTCAGTGCAGTAACTCATAGATCTAGGGTTAAGACTACGCGTGCTCTGCGCTGAGCCATTAGTCTAGTTTGTATATATTTAATTTAACCATTTGTACGTTTAGGTTTATTATATCATTTGTATATATATTTATAATTGTTCAGGCGCAATAAATGTATGTTTTCAAAAAAAAAAGGAAGCAGGTTGGGTTGTAGGTCAAAAATCGTGAGTTCGAATCCCGCCAGAGGTAAATTAAAATTGAAAGATTTGTTCGTCGTTTTCATGGAATCCAGTTACAAGAAATAAATACAGTTAACTAAAATCTACCAACAAATAAAAGAAAATATATAAAATTAAAATTTCATTTTTTTTTAAATCTCAATTTTCAAAATTTATTCAACATTGTCCAAATATTCAATACACACATCTTCTAAACATAAATTTCATTTTAACGTTCATTTCGATTGTTCGGAAAATGTTTTAGGAATGTCCACACCGAATGTCCCAGGGACGTACAGAGAACGTACACAGAACGTTCTGGGAATGTCCACATCGGACGTCCCAGGGACATCCTACGATGTAACTGGGACGTTCACAGGACGTTCAGGGGACGTTTGGACGTTATCTGGACGTCCCGAACGTCCAGTACCGGACGGCTTATGGACGTCCCAAACGTCCAGTACCGGACGGCTTATGGACGTCCCAAACGTCCAGTACCGGACGTCTTATGGACGTACATAAGACGTCCCTTTGCTATCTGGATATTGGCAGAAGATACAATACAATTAGTTCCATCATGTGACTTACTTTTGCAAGTTAGACAATTACAAATTAGATTTCACCTAATGTATATAGGTAGGAGGTGAAAGTTAATTAAATTTAATAAACCTAAATATTTGATCTGTCTTTAGATGATAATAAAAAGAATAAAAATTGAATACATGGTGATTTGTGATTTTCATGCGTTTTAATCGCTAGATTTTTTTTTTTATTAAAGATTTAACGTCGCATCAACATCTTAGGTTATTAGCGATTACACTGAATACTATTACATTTTGTTTATTAAGTTACTATTCTTTAGAAATTTAATGAGATTGTCTAAGTTAGCTGGTTCGAAGTTTTCTCTTAATGTCAGTCTAATTTTGTTTAGTTCGCGGTATCTTCTGTATTTAGAACAATGGAGCAAAATGTGTTCGACTGAGATTATTGTGTTACAATCAGTACATGTGGGTACTAGTTCCTTTGACAATCGGTACGAATGGGTGATTTTTGTGTGTCCAATTCTGAGCCACGATATTATTACTTGTTCTGATCTTGATCGCTAGATTTTTGTACACAATAAATAGCTAAAATTTTATTTATATACCCATACGGCGCCTTTTGTTGCAAATATATATTATATACGTAATAATGTTGGATTTACATTACACTTTATCACGTATGAAATGTAACGTGTTAAATACGTAAATAATGGAATATGTTTAGTATTATGTAAGGGGATATATATACAGGGTGTCCCAAAAATGTTGTAACACCTTGAAAGGGGTGGTTCGGGAGGTGATTTGAAACAACTTTTTCCTTTGTAAAAATGTCGGATGGGGCTTCGTTAAGGAGATATTAACAGAAAACCCCGACCAATCAAAGCGTGCGTATACCGTTGGAGCGGCCGCGATAGCGAAGGCTACGAGCTAAGCGACCGCGCTCGTACGCGAACAAGTGACTCGACGTGCATTGAAGGACATTGACGCGGCCGCTTAACTCGCAGCCTTCGCTACCACGGCCGCTCGAACGGTATACGCGCACTCTGATTGGTCAGTGTTTTCCGTTAATATCTCCTCAACGAAGCCTCGGACAACTTTTTCCTTAGCGAAAAAGTTGTTTCAAATCGCCTCCCGAATCTCCCCTTTCAAGGTGTTACAACATTTTTGGGACACCCCGTATATATAATATATATGTGGCGGCATCGGCGACGAGCTGACGCCACGTTTCCGGCTTATATTTATAATAATTATGTTTAGTTTTAAATGTTACGTCTGGAAGAGTGAATGGAGGTGCGCGTTGCGTGACAAGCGTTGAGTGAATGTTTAGATTATTGGTTCGAACGTCGAGCGGATGTTTATATGATTGGGTCGAATGTTCCTTTGGGTGAATGCATTTATTTAAACAGAGTGCAAGCGTTGTGAGAATGAAGGAAGAATGTCTGCGATGATTGGGGGAACGAATGATGAGTCTATAAGCTAGTCTAGTAAGAGAAGCCACGGAGTACAGACGCGATCGTTCCATTAAAAAGTCTTAAAAAGCACATGAGTCTTACTTATTTTCCCGTCAGCCACTACAATATATAATACATAGCAAATATACTGCACATATTATATAAATATTTATATGTATCAAACATGCAGTTGATACATATTGGACAAGATATAATGCGTATCATATTTACTAGCTGGCGCCATGAAAGTCGAGCATGTTTTTGTTATTATGCAGCAATTTATTGAATAAAGTGTTGGTTAGATAGGTGAAAAATGATTTAGTTAGTCGAAAGTAAGTTTTTTATATTTTATTATAATGATTAAATTTGCACACGGTTGAAATTGTAAAACATTAATCCGTATTGTGTTACTTTTGTAGGTTATATCATAAATAATTTTTAATTTTTATCTTATAGCAATTAGATGGATAAAAAAAATTAGCGTACTAATGGTATTAATTCTTTCATAAATGGTTGTAAATATTCATTGGCATTGTTTGGTTTCTTTTGATCTTAAAATATCCCAATTACATGCACTTGTTTTGAAATATCATATTGGCCAGAAAACACTTGGCGATGATTTGAATATTGGTAAACCATCTATATTAATGTTGAAATTGATCCATAACAAATAATCTTTTTTCGTTTCTTTCTGAGCTAATCGTCTCTTATAATAACACGTGTTATTTCTTATACCTCAAAGTAAATTGAAATCAATGATAATCATTTATCAGTTTCAACATCATCTCTTATTAGTAATAATCAATAGCACTTCAAATATTTATTAAACTTTAGTGACAATAATAATGAAGAAGGACATAACACATGAGAAGTAACCACAGTCGATGAAGATTCTATTGATATTGAAGAACAAGGGGAAATGCAATTTAATCATTAAACTGTGACAGTTCAAGTGATGATGCAGGTGCTTTTGAAAACACCTAAGAAAACTGCTGAAATAGTGTATTAGCTGGAGGATCATATTATCACGTTGGTCTATAGAAACAATCCTGCAATTAAAAGTAGCTAGTATTTACCATTATTTGATAAGTAGTTTTGTGCGCTTAAAGTATATGTATATGTACTATCATTGTAAATTCTTGTGGGTTTTCTGTTTTCACAGTCTTTGATTGATCTAAGCAACTACAGTCATTCAATAAGAGGAAACGAAGGGATGAATTGCTTGTTTCATGAAGCAAATAATTTCCTAACGAAGCAACAGTATTTTGGTGATCTCCAAAAATAGGAGCTGCCGCTGTAAAATTCTCGTATTTTATCTCAGTGAAGGATATCTGGTAGTAATTATTAAAATACCACCAGAAGAATCGTGCAAGTATTACAGGAAATACGATCAAGTTTGACAGGTATATTGAAATTGGCCAGTTAAAATATACTGCGACCTGACAGACTGTATAATAGAAGGAACTAAGTGATCTATATATAATGTTTGGGTAATTATTTAGAAATATGCCCTCCTCACCGATTTCGATGACCTTGATATATGTTGTCAATGTCATCATTCTGAACAACTTTTCCCTATATATGTTACCGTCGCTCGGCTTTAGTTTCCGAGATATTTGCAAATAAAGATCATGCATTTACACACACGAACACACTATATATAGCATAAAACAACACACACTATAACGGTTCAAACTTGTTCTGAGAGCTTGTATCATGCACGATCTTTATTCGTACAGTAAAACAAATGGGAGTCCGCTTGGATATGCTTAATGAATTAGAGAAAAGTCTAGTTGAAATAGCAATGGATTCAAAGGAAGAGAAAGAGATACAGAAAAAGGCAAAAGATATCTTAAAAGAAATAAAATCTCGAAATCGTCCTGTTTCTCATTTGAATAAGGCCTTCTATGGCCTAAAGCAAGCAGGGAAGCAGTGGAATGAAAAGTTGGATGAGAAACTAAAGAGTTTATTTACCAAATGCCAAGTTGTATAATATTTTAATCAACCGAATGTCGACGCCTTACAACCATAAAAAAACGATAAAATAAAATAAAATTTAATAATAGTTTCGGTTGTACGAAATCCACAACTCGGAACTTTCTTGCGCGTCTAACAAATTAAATAATAACTTGTTGAAGACTGTAGTATTATCCTTCAATTTAAATGTATATTCTTCTATCTTCGGAAATGGGGTCATTTATCTGATTTATGAAAATATAGAAAACATCGTAGACTTAACTGCGTCGCTCCATGCTGAATATTTCACGGTAGACGAAACTAACGCGTACGGTAAATTTCTGACCGGAAAAGAATAACCGTGTAAGCTGGTGAAGAATCGCGATGAAGCGCGAAAAAACTCGCAACGACGACTCACGGCGTATGTACAATAGATAATACTGTTATCGTGGCTGTAACAGTATTATATATACTATTTTAAATAATAAATGCTATATTGTTTAAGTATAGTCGGTGGAAGGGATCTTGTGAGGTTGTAAAGTCGGTCGGACATCGATCTTTACAACTTAAGTCGACCGCAAATAGTATCTGACACCTTTTTAGATAAGGACAGAGCTAGACTTTTCGTTCAGGGCCGTATAGTATCAGAATTAGGATGTTCATATTTCAATAACTTTTTTCTTCTTATGTATGTTCACACATAATTCTGTTGGCCGACTTATTGAAAATACTGTGGTAGGTAGGAATTTAGTTAACCAATCATCGTCAAGAGTTTTCCAATTTGGAAAAACCCGCGTAGCAAACATCAAGTCTTGGGGCCCCGAGGTGTAACGTGAGCATGAATACTTTAGAGCCGCGACACCCCTGTCGTCCTACGGATCAGATACCTGGGCCAATAAAGCAATAACTACTGTTTCGGTTTACGATCTCACAAGATCCCTTCCAGCGACTATAATAGGAAGCAGATGTATGCAAGCTACACGATTAAGTGCTTTACAATTAACATCAGAACTTTTTCATAAATACAGAGAATGAGTAAATCCACAAGCGATTTGTTGAGTACTTAAGGAATGTGAGTCTAATAAACGTAATGGTCAAAAAAGTTGTACACGAATGAAGTAATTAATACTCCTTCCTTATGGAAGAAAAGAGAATAAATTTTGCAAAGGAGTTCATTTCAGAGAAAAAAAAGAATAAGGGTGAAATATCGCGATTATTGCTGATGATAAGAGGTGCATATTATTATATATATAGATATTATTATTACTAACATTATTATAAGCGAAGCAACAATCATTAGTTTATAATATTTACATTTTTAGAGATTTACAAAAAAGGGACACAAACTTAACTATTTTAAAGATGCAATAATACCATTACCAACAATATTGTCTGACGAAAGGTTAACGAAGAATTGAAATAAAAAAATCGAAGGTCTAGAACATTTGGAGTCGGAGTCCTAGTTTTTATTTGGGAGATCTAGTTTTAAACACAATGAATGAAAATGTATTTATGAAAGTTCTTATGAATTTTGAAGTTATGAAGTTTATGAAGTTTGTTAGATATTCCTGCCGCTATATGGATTTAAGATAGTACTTTTCTTATTAAGTCAACAAATCGAATATACAGATTGCACATTAAGCAATAGAAGTTGTATCATTTTCAAATTTTAGGTGCACAGAGAATTTATGGCATGAATTAACATTTAACATTTATAAAACTTTAATGTATCCAAAAGAAGCAGAATTAAAAATTATATTGAATACGTATCGTCGTTAAGGAGATATTTTTAGGTTGAAATTTGTTTAGTTTATTGTAAATCTTATAAAACATACAAAGCAAACATGCAAACATTTAATTTGCCATAACTTTAGTAGGTAAAAGTCCTTTCAAATATTCTACATTCCAATGGTTATATAAAATATGGTTATATAAAATAACCATATTGTTACTACGTAAAAGTTTATGTTTTATTTTCTATAATTCACAATCTACTTTTATTTGGCGAGCTTTATTTTTATATGATTGTCATACTTTTTGACACAAATCTAATGAACGACATTTTCAATATATTTTATTAATATATAAAAGTAATAGTAAAAGTTCCGTAACAAAATTTTTCTTTTGAACTTCAATAAACTCTATACTTCAAAATCGATACTGGCAACACTGTAACCGTTATATTAGACATGAAAATGCTACAAAATTTCAAATAAAAAGGCAAGAATAGCATTTGCAATATAAGTCCAAATGTGAATTCAATATAATTATCGTAGTGAAGAAACTTTCAAAGAATTACAGATAATTTTTATAAATAAATGTTAAGAATCAATTACCATATTTTCCATTATACTGTTAAATTTTGGTACATTGATTTTACAATGAATTGACACATATAGCCTAGCATACGGGTATTGGTGAATTTCTCTTTTAGAATATAGATGTAAAATAAGCTATTACTTTGATACAAAAAATACGCAAAAACAATGTTCGTAAACCATAAATTATTGTATTTACTTAGAGCATTCATTTGTCTATTAAAGTAACGATTTGTAAAAAGTATGTCGATACTTAGAACATTTACACTACCGAAGAAAACCTAAATCAGAAGGCGAAAGTATATTGTCTATTATCCCGCATAATAAGCGCATGGGATATTTTTGTAGTTTTGTTTTTCTTTGAATTTTTTATATTCTAGGGCTTACTTAGTAACACCAAAGCTAGAAAAACGTATTTTGAAAAATTTCTATTTGTCCATTTCAGAATGTATGTTTGCCTCATAAAAACATGAAAAATGTTCAAATATCCTGCGTCCCATTTCCCCAAGACAAATGAGAAACCCAAAAAATGTATTGTATAAAATTTCCTACTAAACAGAAAGTTGCTTCCCAATATGTACAAAAATGAATTGCATACAATAACAATTCTCAGTTACATGAAAATATACCATTTCACTTTCGCAAAATTTAATACAAATTGTTTTCCAATGTGTACGAAATTAATTAAACACAATCCAAATTGTCTCCTGTATAGACACGTCTTGTTCCATTTCCTTCAGAAAGCTAAAATGTCATTATATTAATTACAAAGTTGCTACCTATGTACATGTTTCAACGTTTTGCATAGTCTGTTATGAGATAATTGTTTAAATTCAGCAAAGAATAATAAAGATCACATAAAAAAAAAGATAATATCTCTTTTTTCTCGGATATTCCTATTTCGATCTTCTTGCGAATAAATTTTTTGAAACAATTGTAGCACAATTATCTTCGGAATGTTAGATCTAGGTTTGACGGTAAATTTGTTGGTGAACCAGCACTACAGGATCACAGAAAGATCGCGAATGAACGTACCAGGTGGACGTTGCTCGTTGGTGGTTTCTTTGTTCATCGTATGACCCGCGAAGAGTCATTCTATTGATCGAATGTCACGCACTGCGTTACGCTCTCGGTTGCACCTGTCGATCGCGATCGAATAAACTTCACGGATAAGCAAAAAATCACGACGAGTAGCTACTGATATCTCATATGACCGAACGCTTGAACACCCGATCGGTGACTGGAGTGTTCCAAGCGGTACAGGTTGCGGCTACTCCTCGCGTCTGTCTCTGTCTCTCTTTCTTTCTTTCCACCACGAGAGGTGAATCGCCTCTACCTCCTTTCTTCTCTCTATTTTATTGCTGAACTATACTATTCTTTCCTCGCCTCGAAACACCCCGAAAGTTACTCAAGACCGTTCAGCATTTTCTCGGCGCCAGGTAAACCGCGATTCAAGCTTTACTGCGTTGTGCACGTTAGGAATTAAAGCCATAAAACCTCTCTTAAGGTGGCCGGACCAAATCAGCAGAATCATATCGGACTTAGTGGAATATTTAGTACTTATTTTTTACTAATTTGTATCACCAACAATAAATTTGTACCTCGTGCCGTTTTCGAAAAAATCGTGGCATTGCTAGCTTAATATTAAGCTAGCAGGGCCACACGTCAAAATTAATAAAAATGAAAAAATCAAAGCGAATATATTTAGTACTGAATTTGTACTAATTTATACCACCAAAAAAAATTTTGTACCTGTTACCGTTTTCAAGAAAAATCGTAATATTAATATTAAGCTAAAAGCACCACGA